CCTGTGGAATATCGAGTACTCTGAGTGAGCATATTGTATGTTTTGTGTCTATTTTGTATTTGAGAATCTGAGGTACAAACGAGAGGCTAACATTTTAGGATATAGATGTAGTATCAGAGATTCGAAAAATATGAGCGAAATAAAAGAGTATCAGAGAAGAAGGTAGACCAAATTACAAGGAAATAAAAATATACTTAGTTTGTACTATAGATTAATACAGAGGGAAGCAGATAAATCAAACATAAATTTTTACACTTTTTACATTTTGGTTAATAGCTGCGAAAACTATACAATGTGTGGTGATTAGTGACCGTTAGTCGATGATTATTCAGAAATCGTGAGATGCGGTCTGGTGTATGTAGGTTTCAGAAAAACGTTTTCTTTATCTTGCCAACGTTTCGATCTTTATTGAGATCATCTTCAGGGCCCAGGATTTACAAACGTTGTTTAAATTTAACAAATACATGTAGGATGTGGAAAAAGTGAATTTATACAATGCAAAAAATATTTTTTTATATTCAAACAAAGTATTTCTACTCCAACCAAACCAGTTCTAAAAAGTTACGTTTATGTTTGTTTTGTTCTGTGAGTAATATTTTTGGATCGTTGAAGTCGAGAATATAAATTCACTTTTTTCCACATCCTACATGTATTTGTTAAATTTAAACAATGTTTGTAAAGCCCACGATTTCTGAATAATCATAAACTTTACAATGTTAAGGTGGCTCCAGACATTCCGAATGCAGAACAAATCCCGACCAGTGGGGATGCATGCTTGGTTACACGCCGAGCAACAATATTCCGTGCTCGCCGTGCTTGGCTTATTGCCGATTTTTTGGCCGCTTCAAAGTGCACGAATATTCGTGAAGTAACAGCACTCAAAGCATTCACATATTCGGGAATCGAATGTAAATGTATATACCTTTAACCAACAGTCAACTGTTATCAAAATCAACAGTAAGTGTATACTTCTGCTTAATTATTCAGAAATCGTGAGATGCGGTCTGGTGTGATATAGGTTTCAGAAAAACATTTTCTTTATCGTGCCAACGTTCCGACCTTTATTGAGATCATCTTCAGGGCCTGGGATTTACAAACATTGTTTACATTTAACAAATACATTTAGGATGTGGAAAAGTGAATTTATACAATGCAATCCCAGGCCCTGAAGATGATCTCAATAAAGATCGAAACGTTGGCACGATAAAGAAAATGTTTTTCTGAAACCTACATCACACCAGACCGCATCTCACGATTTCTGAATAATTATCGATTAACGGTCACTAATCACCACACACTTCTATTTAATGGTATTTATTTTTCACTGATAAACGATTTCTAACTAGTCTTTTTAAAAATATTCCTACTCACAATAAGTTGTTTTCAATGATCAGGATTTCGAGCTTATAACTCATCATCAGGTTGAAGGACATTTACCATTGTACTAAGTCTATATTCTATATACCCTTCCAAACACTACATTCATACAAATAAATACATTCATACAGTACACTCATTCCGTCTGGTCGGTGGAGTACTTGATATTCCTCCGCCGACCTATACTCAAACTAATCTAGATTAGGGTCGATGGAGTACTTTTATAAATATTCCGCCATTGACCCCGAACACAAACTCATACGCTCTCAAAGTTCGAGGGGCGATGATGACGTTATATTTCACCCTCACCCCTCGCCATTCACGCTAATAAATGCATGCACTCAGACAAAACATACAGACACACAACACATAAGACTTATTATATACAATAAAAAAAACCAATTTCCCCTTAAAAAGCGGAACAGGGGACCCAGAAACCCGCTGCCGTGCTCGAGTACCATTTTCAGATTGGATGGCGTGCCTACACGCTCCCTGTAGGGAGCCAAGGCATGACATGTTTCCAGTATGTGGGACACATCGAGCAACCTTTCTCTGCATGGTGCAGGGGCCCGTGTGTCAACCGCGTATGGCCAATCCTCAGTCGGGTAAGGACGATCCCTCGTCTCCAGCTCAGGTTCTCTGAGGGCCATCTACCTGTCGTGCTCTTGACCCGCAAGAGCCTCTGTAGCATCGTTGTTTTATGATTAGGAATGAATTGGCCTAGCGCAACTGTTTTGGATTTTCTCAATGTTTACGAAACAGAAGCATTAATTTAAAAAGCTTCTCTTACGAATCATAAAAATCAGAACGGTGTTTTCGATGCGTGAAACGAATTCGTACTGAAGAGATAGTGTGAGAGTGAGAGTGAGAGAGAGAGAGAGAGAGAGAGAGAGAGAGAGAGAGAGAGAGACAGAGAGAGAAGGGGAGAGTGAGAGTATATCAGGATGAGGGTGTAATAAGAAATACACTGACAGGCAAAAAATTCCACCCTCCTATAACATAACTTGATTTGTATATATTTTTATATATTAATCACAGTTTCACGTTTTTCAACGTTTAATAATTGAGTCTTTGTCTAAAAGGTTTTACGAAAATGGAAATTGCTAAGGAAAATGAACAAAAAAAGACGGACTGAGAAAAATTGTTTTAATTTCAATATCGCGTATTTCCTCCTCTTGCCTTAATTACTTCTAGAAATGTCTCTTTCCCGGAGGTTAGCCCATTCTTCGCAAAGAGTCCGATGGGGTTTAAGTCTGGAGAACGGGCTGACCAGGCTAAGACCCTGATGTTATGCTTTGAAAGGTACGTTTGTACTACGTGGACGGGCATTATCGTGCAACAGATTAGAAGTATCGCTGATTTCATCGAGAAAAGGCAAGTTTCATAATTTCATCCACATAGCGAGCGGCCGTCAAAGACCCTCCACGAAACAACAACCAACTCTGTGCGACTCTCCATTGAAATTCCCGCCCACACCATCACTGAGCAACGTTGCAAAGGTTTGCTCTGGGGAAAAATATTTCGTACCTTTCATTTCGCCTTTTCCACACTCTTTCACGCCCATCTAGAGATCATAGAGCAAATCTACACTTGTAAAAAGTACAGCAGACCAATCGTCTAAAACCCAATGGCTGTGTTCTCGAGCAAATGAGAGCCGTGCAACTCTGTCTGTTCTGGTCAATTATAGTCCTCTTACGGGGCGAGAAGCCATCAGTCCATACTGATTTCCTTCGAGAGTGCGTTCAGAAATTTGGTCACCTCGGAATTCCTGGAGCTGATGAATCTCTTGAACAACAGTAAGGTACCGGTTTCACGAAATTCTCCAAGTCAAAAAACGAAATCCTCTGGTTCTGTTACCCTCGGGCAGTGTTCGGCAAACTAGTCATCCAAAAGAGCCATTTTTAAACTTAACCTTTGCTTTAGTAGACATTTTTATGGAAATAATTAAAATTAAAAGTACAGTCTTGAGCTTGCCTTTGTTGAATATGTCTTAGTTTAACTAACGGTACATTAAATAAAACTTGGTATCATTCTTATATAAAAATAATATTTATTTAAAAATATAACAAGTTAAATAATATAAAAGGTATCCTTAAAAAAACTACAAATACTCCACTAATGTGAACAATGGCCTTGCATTTATTTCCCTGGAAAGTAGGGGTAAGTCAGGTTTGTATGTTGTTTTTAATTTTAGGCACGATTCCAAGTTCTCATTGATAAGCCGATTTCTTAATCTACTCTTGATGAAGTTCATGCTTGAAAATGATTGTTCGCATAAATATGTAAACCCAAATAAGGAAGAACAGCAAACGCTACTTTCTTCAGTTGATCATCATCATCCAGGTGTTAAAAATCAACACATCTTCCCTCGTCAGATCTTTCAAAGCAGACCGCTTGTGCTGTAAACTTAATTCACATTTATTTTTCTCCAATAGCTGTAAATCGGTTTTATGAAGCTCGAATTTTGAGTTACAAAATTTTTTATTTTTAAAATCTTGCATCTGCATTTCAAAGCTGCCAATATTAATATTAAATGGCAAGAAATTAATTTCTGTTGCCGTGGCATTCAGAGGTGTTTTTTTAACAAAGGCTAGCGTCGCTTTATTGTTTCTAAAGTTTTGAACCTGCTGAGTAAATTTCATCAGGAAATGTCTGCGCACATAGTGCTTCCTGATGAATAATTGGTAAGTATCTCGTGATTAATTTTTTCTTTAAAAATTGCGACAATCCCATTTTTTGCACCTGTCATACTTTTCGCTCGGTGCCTGCAGTAAACATTTAGTGAAAGAGCCGCAGCCAAGAAGTCAAAGAGCCTCGGTTTGCCGAACACTGCCCTAGGGTATCCAGAACCGGGCTATCTATGGTAGGACCCAGTTTCTCGAATATGTACAACGGCGTCTCGCAGTGTCCAGATGAATCCATTAGCAATAAGTGCCACCGCAACATCCTCAGCACTGGGTGGCATTTTTAAGTTTAATAGAAATTGAGAAAACAAAGATGAAAACTAAACAGTTTATCGCTTCAGAATTCAAATGAGACTCAATAAACATTTTAAATTCCGAAAAAAGTAAACATGGAAAAATCCTTTATCCTTGCTTTGGATTAAGGATTAGGTGTGTTTACCGATAATTGATATTCCCAATTTAAAACACAGCATAAACAAATATGTATAGGTAAAGACAATGAGAAAAATTAAGAGCAGAAAATGAAAAAAATCAATTGGGGTGGAATTTTTTTTGCCTGTCAGTATATAAACAATATTTAGATAGAAAGATAAAGGTTGATAGGATAAAGTGGTAAAATTCCTGTTATTTAATTTTTGTTCATAGTTGCATATTTAAACAATATTTAATTATGGTTTTCTCACTAACACACTAATTTCAATAAAACCTTCCTTGCTCAGAAAGTTTTTTAAAGGGAAATGTTCATACGCATGACAAATGGATAAATGGGAAACAGGGCGGACCGTCTCCTCGTTGTCCCCCGTACTAGGGTCATTCAGTGAAAGGTCGCGAAACATCCCCCGTCGCGGTCAGGACAACCCTTGCAGCGGAGCCGGCCAGGAAGAGGGAGGAGGAAGTGAGCGCCTCCCCCTCCCAGGGAGTCCGGGGGTGGGTGGAGGTGTGCCCAACGGAAGGTGAAAGTGGCCAACGCGAACTCGACGGCGTTCAGTCTTTGCCCTACTTTGTACCAGTGGCTCGCGAGTGCCCGAGGAGTGAGTGCCAATCGGGAGTTGAGTACCGGACAAGAGTGTTTCTGTGTGCAACATGCCCTACTGACGACTATGCAGACCTCGTCCTTCCAAGAGAATAAATCATCTAATGTAGGTAAATGACGTTCCAATATTTTTATATGTAATTTTTTTATAATAATAATAATAATAATAATACCCAAAAAATTACTAAAAACAGTCTAACCTTTAAAATCCGGGAGGTATTTTTTAAAACAAAAAAATCGCAAAAAATAGAACTGGGACAACCGTTACAATTCGATTGTCATTCAAAGATAAAATTTTGTAATCTTTATCAACATAAAAAAATCCCAGGCAGTTTAAATTCCTTTATTTTTAAAAAATCGCAATCAATCAGTATCAATTACCAAACAATCAAAAAAACAAACCAGAAAGACTCATAGGTATGTTTTAACACAAATAAAGTAAATAAAGCAACAGTCGTTAGAACAGTCCTGCTTTTAAAAATGTTTTCCGTATTAAATAACAAAATCAAAATAAACCAAAATTGATTAGGTAAATCAAATTTATGAATCAAAGGAGGCTAATGCAAGAAAACAAAACCTACCCTTAAACCTCCATACAATCGGTAAATAAACATACATTATTGAAACAAATAAATAATGACAAGGTTTGGCAAATAAACCTTAATTTAATAAAGGTAAAAATGTGTTTTGGACTGGTGGCCCAAATACGTATCAAAATGAGCTAAATTTTGATGATAGTACAAAAAGAGAATTTGAAATTTATATATTTGAAATTTGGCGGCAAAACACTGGCACGAGTAAATAAAGTGTGAAAGAAAAGAGGATACGAAAAATATTCTGAATAAATAATAATAGAAAATTAACTGCTTGCTCAGTTTTGTTCATAATTTAAACCTGGTTAATAATTTTAACTTTTTTAAACACTTATTATATAATAAATATATTACTCATTACAATAAAATTATGAGGGAATTTTAGTAATCAATGTACAAAATACTGGTTATTAATTTTAATTTCAAATAATCCGCGCTAATCTAATTGCACTGAGTTATTTTTCTGAACTTTTGTGAAATTTTGACTGATCCCTAACAAACTTTATCCTGCAAGGTCTATTTTGTCCATTGTTTACTTTTCACGCCAATTAAGAATCTTTTGACATCAAAAAATAAAGCATTTTTGAAATCGAGTGTTCAATAAAATTCAAAAACGGCATTATTCTGTTGTAATTTAAAAAACCCATGGTTGTTAGATTCTGCAGCAATCAGCAAAGAATATACTTAATTTAAGCTGATATTATTAGTAAAAAAAAGTAAATTTTAAATATAGTTGAATTTTGATAGAAAAATAACGTGTAAATATATAGCGTGAAAATACCAACACTCTATCCTGAATAGATAAACCAATAGCTGAAATATCACTACTTGCTTAGTTTTTATTGATAAGCTTAAGAAACCTTGGATAATAATTTTAATTTAGAAAACATTATATTCCTTAAAAACCCAAAGGTGAATATTCAAAAAATATGTACGAATTATTATGATAAATTTACAAAACACTTAGATAATAATTTTAATATCATGTCTTCCAAGCAAATGTAATTCTACAGAATGTTTGTTTTCTAAACTTCCTATTTGAAATTTAGGTTGGCCTCTACGAAATTATTTTCCTTGAAAGTCTATTATTCCTGTTACTTATTTTTTTCAACTCAAGCTAAAAATCTTTAACATATAAATTCGATATTTTTTAAAGTTATTTTGCATTTAAAACACATACAGGTTGATATACGAGTAATGTATTGACAGCAACAAAATCAATAAAACCTACTCCATTTAATCAAGCTGGTAGTATTGGAATATTATGTCTCTGGATAATCTCAGTATGAAACCAAATATAGTTAAAGGTTTACGCAAAAACAGTTAAACTTACAATTAATTATGTTTGTTTTGATTGGTTTAAATCAGTTCAGTCTGTGCGCCAAGCTAAATCTTAAATTAGTAAACTTAAAAAATCATTGGTTTGTGGTGGAATACTGCGGCAAAAGAAGGAATACCTAAGAGGCGAAAGTACAAGATACTAGTTTGAATGTATAATGTATAACTGAGAAAATCATTTTTCCACACCGGCCATATATTTTTAAGTCAATAAAAGCTTTACCAGAGGTTTTCTTCGGGTTTGGACTCAATGGTCTATGGAAAAATAAAGCCGAACTACTAAGATTTCTCATCCGAGGTTGTTGAATAATTTTCCGGTATATTTCAAATCTGCAGTTGATCTTATTCTACGGCTATCAACTGGCCCGGTGGAAAACAACGGGGTTGTTGAACCGTGGGCGGTATTTTGGTTTGTTGTCCCGCGAACAGCGGGAATAGACGCACCGAATGGCTAATAGTTTATTTTTATTAATACAATATATAGACAGGCTTTTTCAGACAATTTAAATTTGCAATTTTTGTTTGCATTAATTTTTGTGTGATTATTATTCCAAAATTCGCAGTTCTCTCTCTCTCTCTCTCTCTCTCTCTCTCTCTCTCTCTCTCTCTCTCTCACTCATACTCTTTATGAGGGAGTATGAATTTAGCTATCGTTTTTTTAGTTAGATCTCCATCACCTGTCGCTATTTCTCTTGCTATATAATTCTGTCTATCTATCTTCTTTTAATTCGGCAATATTATTGGATATTTATTTATTTAATTTCAATGGACTAAAAATAATTTAAATTATATTATGGTAATTCCATTAGGACTTGAAGAAGATTGTGCCACTTATTGGGTTTGTCGACACTACTCTCTCACTCTCTCTCTCTCTCTCTCTCTCTATATATATATANCTCTCTCTCTCTCTCTCTCTCTCTCTCTCTCTCTCTCTCTCTTTCTCCCTCTCTTCCTCTGTAAGATATTAGTGATGACAGTCTTTTTAAATCGAAACGGCCACAATTTATACCTAGAGGTCAATTTTGTCCAACGGAGAAACAAGCCTACAATTCTAAATGTGTGAATAATTTTAAGAATCGTCAACTTCTTGTTTTGTTTTTTGAAACATAGGAAAATATCAAGAAGTCATTTTGTTATAACTGGGAGCGTTTAAAGTGTAGTACAGCCAATTTTATTTTGTAAATCACGGCTTTTTCCAACCTGGAAAAGTCCCAACTTATATCAAGTCCGCTAAATTGTATACAAAACTAAAACTCCGTTGTTTTCCTTTTTGTCGATTTCCATTCCACTGTGCTGGCCACGGTTCGAGCCCTTGCGGACAGTAATTTTACGATAAGATAAAAATCCGTTTGAAATCTCTTATCTCGTCGGCCTATTTTAGCGAGTCCGAGTTGACATTTGAGACCGTGAATCCAATGGAAGGAAATTTTTTTCATGATCCTTTAACAAGCAGGAAAAGACTTAGGGAAAGGAACTAAAAATGATTTAAAGATACGGTAGTAAAGACACTATTTTACAGAAAAATTATTGATATTCCAGGCATTTACAACTTGTCCAATATATTGATCGTATTTTGTCACAAATTTGGCCAGAATTTGTTATTTAAAAAAAAAAAATATTGAATAGTAAAATATCCGGAATAATAACTACTTTGCTTACAGACAAAAACATTAAAATTCATAATTACAGGCAAAACAGAGTAGTTGTTTTTCTTATTTTACAATTTATATAAGGTTTAATTTTTTTATGAGTATATATATATATTGTATATATATATATGTGTGTGTGTGTGTGTGTGTGTGAGTGTGTGTGTCTACAAGTTTTTACTAAAATAAAATACAATGTGATATAAGTGGCAGATAATAAGTTAATTGGTTCTGGTTGGGGCTGAAGCGAAATTAATTTATTAACTTTAAAATCGATGGCTGCTAATATTCTCTAACATTTAATGTTTCGAACGGTTTAATGTGTAATTTACAACCATTCATTATCGAAACGTCTAATTTGTAACTGTAATTAGCCCGTATATTGCCTTATAAAAGGTAGGCCTCGACAATGGCTCATGATTTACGTATTTTTATCGTCCGATTAATTCGCTATATATTCCTCATTTTATTGTTGACTAATGTTTGACCCACTAACTCAGAATATGACTTGGATTTTAAAAAAATTCTTTTTGAGCACATGGTCAGTCCGGTCCGTCCGTTCTCGCCGCTTGCCCTTGGTCATCCCATTAATTACAGATGCTTGTATTTTATAGTATTAACATACATTGTATATTTACATCTTCCGAATGGGATATTTGTTTTACATTTCCGACCTTACTCAATGACCAAAATTATATAATACACGTTATAATTTCATTGATTTTTATTTTTTATTCTCTCTCTCTCTCTCTCTCTCTCTCTCTCTCTCTCTCTCTCTCTCTCTCTCTCTCTCTCTCTCTCTCTCTCTCTCTCTCCCTCTTTCGTCTGTTTATCTATTTCTATACATTTATATATCTATTTTCACTCACTCACTTTTAGTTTATATTGATCGTTGAAATATCTATTTTTATGACGTTAAAGACTGTTTCTGTTTCTATCGTGCTACCGATCTCTCTTTTTGAAAGAATGGAGGGTTGTTCGCCAGTAGCTCAAAATTATTAATCATGTCGAAAACACATTATGTCTTTGTCTGTTATATCTTGATATACTGAATTTTCGAAGTGTTCAGATTCAAAGATATTCTCCCCTACGTCAAGTGCGTAACGCCAAGGCACCTTCCGGATCGCACGTGCCAAACTGGAGGCGGATGGTCGTATTTAGGTCGACTGCGACGACGTCCAATCCGGACGGAGGGGGAGACGAATTTTGTCAGCCGGCCACCTCAGCAGTACATCATAACCGATGAGCTAGGCATCTTTGTCAAAACGGGTTTCGCTCGAGGTCCGAGTTCTTTAATTGCACAATCGGTAAATCTTTGATAAAAATTACGGCGGGGCGGGGGAATTGTATATACAAAAATCAACTTGTAGCTCTCCTAGTTAATGAAGCAACTTCGGGTCATACCTGCATAGATTTAACTAGAATATGGAGCACAACACAGAAACCAAAGAGAGCCACTAAAGCAAATATTTCCATGTTGATCGTTAGAAAAACAAAAGCTGATATTAGATAAGAGGATGTATACAATATTCC